AAACTCCGAACTATCAGCACCATTACATCTAAACTCGAGAATAATCCTACGTAAGAACGTAGTTAGAACTCTGAATCCGAACTCGATTGACTGTTAGCTGGAGAGCGCGCGTAATTTCATGTAATCTAATAATTGTATATAACTGTATCTAAATATAATATCTTTATTTATACAGAAGTGTCAGTTTTTTATGCAAAAGCTTGGAATTATTTAGATATTTCATCGAATAAGAATTAGAATGGAACAAGCTCGGCTCCCGGGTGAAAGAAAAGGTAAGAGAGATTTCTTTTTACCTTTTAGAATTCTATTGAGAGATACAACAAATTTTGGCATCCCTGCCGGGACGCCCGAGCTAAGAATAAGAATTTAAATTAGACAATAAAGATTAAGAATACAATTATTGATTACATTTTGAATTTTTGAACTGTTAAGAACATGTCTGAAGAGATCTTAAATAAATTAAAAAAGAAGCGCGCGCAGCTCTCCGAACATCAGTAACGAAATCGCTTAAAGATTTGGAATCGCAGCTTTCGGAAATTGATCCGAAAATTCATGATTTGGAAGAAAATTTAGAAATATTAAAGAATAATTTCGAATCGCTTAAAAGTGTCGATACAGAATTAGAACCTCTTTTTAAAGTCGAAGAATTTGATGCTGAATTCCAAAAATCTGAAGAATATCGCCAAAAGGTCGTTAAATGCAGTTTCCGTACCTCCAAAAGAATCGACGAATTAAAACGCAAATCTACTGAAACGGTAGTAAATAACCAGTTCAGTACTGATAGTCAAAGCGAACCAAAACATAACGAGTCTGTTCGAATTAAATTACCTAAGTTAACTTTAACGAAATTCTACGGAGATATAAACAACTGGCTAACCTTTTGGAACAGTTTCGAGTCTGCCATTCATAAAAATGATTCATTAGATAAAATAGACAAATTTAATTATTTGAAAGCTCATTTAGGTGGTTCTGCTTTAAATACAGTCGAAGGATTACCGATTACTGCTGCTAATTACGATTCCGCAATTGATCTTCTAAAAGAAAGATTTGCGAAAACAGATGTGCTCATTTACACTCACATAAATAACATTTTGAACACTAAACCGTTGAAAATCTCGAATGATGTTCGCGCCTTTAGAAAATTTTATGATAATATTTCTATCGAATTAAGATGTTTAGAAAATTTGGGTCAGTCTCTCGAGAATTTATCAAGTGTGTTATGTCCAATAATTCTGAAATCACTTCCCCAAGATATTTTGCTTGAGATTAACAGAATGAGTAATGGAAGTGCATATTGTAATATTAAAAGCCTGTGCTTGATTATAGCTCAATGTTTAGATTCACGCGAAAGGGCGGAAGTCATAAATAAGAATTCAGAGCATTCGACAGCGAATAGTGGGCGCCGTCAGTCTGCGTATGCAGTCCAGAAAATAAACACTCGTCATTTCAGCGATGGAAAGAGCAATAAATTAGAAACGAAAGCTTCTTCTGCTTCTGATTTAGTGTCCACGGGTATTAAAGAAAAATTGATTAAGGCATGTGTTTTTTGCGGAGATTTTTCCCATTCAAGCCATAAATGTCCTATTGCCCAGAAACTAACTAATGACGAAAAGGTTGAAATACTACGCAAAAATGGCACTTGTTTTAGGTGTTTACAAAATAAGGGTCACATCAGCAAATTTTGTGATTCTAACATTTTTTGCACCCATTGTCACTCTAAGCATTCTACGATTATGTGCAACAGAATTAATTCCGAGAGTAAAAAGGGAACGATCAAAACTGTCCAGGAAGTTGAAAATAAAGTACTTTCGAATCAAAGCAACCGTTCTGAAGTTTATTTACAAACTTTGGTCGTAGGGGTAGCTGGGAAAACCTTAAAGGGTTATTTAAGATTGCTAATAGACACCGGAAGTCAGAACACGTACATAAGTCAATATGCTGCTAAAACGTTGAAATTAGAAAAGATAGGAACTGAAAGAATTAAACATGGGTTATTTGGGGGTGTAGAAGTTTCGGAAGATCATAATCGTTATCAAATAGATTTAACTAGTTTGGATGGAAAGTACAGGTGTAAAATCGAAGCACTAGACCAGAGGAAAATTTGTTCGTCACTACCTAAGATCAAAGACGAAAAATTAATTAAAGTAATGGAAAAAAAGGGGAATCCTTATCAACGACAATCATGTGAATGGAAATCTCTGTCTGTTTCAAGAAAATCCGGAAGAGATTCATATGCTGTTAGGAGCGGACACCGCAGCACAATTGTTCACTGAAAGAATTGAACATTTTGCGGGGGATTACGTAGCCTTTGAGACCAAGTTAGGCTGGACTTTAATGGGCAAGATTAAAGAGAATGCGAATACGTCGAGTTCCCTGTCCGTTCTTTCTTTATCCTTACATGTTTCCGATACAAATTTGTCCAATCTTTGGCGTTTAGACACCTTGGGGATTTCAAGTGAGGAAAACAAAACGAAAAGTGTCCTTGGAAGAAGAAACCCGAAAACATTTCTTAAAAAGTGTAAAACGAGATAGCTCAGGGAGATATGAAGTAACCTTACCCTTTATTTTAGATAAATCCGTCTTATCCAGTAACCGTACTGTGGCAGAAAGACACCTCGTCAAAACCGAAAGTAAACTAATTAACACACGCAGAAGAAAAGATTACGAAGAAATATTTGATGAGTGGGAAGCGAAGGACATTATTGAGGTAGTAGTAACTGAGGAAAAGGAGGAAGGAGTGCACTACTTGTCACACAGACCTGTAATAAAAGAGTCTAGTGAAACTACAAAGATACGGCCTGTTTTCAATGCATCTGCACGTTCTAAGAATTCACCCTCTCTCAATGATTGTTTGAGTAAAGGACCAAATTTAATAGAAATTATTCCACGTATATTGAATCGTTTTCGAAAATATCGCATAGGAGTGTCATCTGACATCGAAAAGGCCTTTTGTCAAATCAAAATAGCAGAAAAGGATAGAGATTTTTTAAGGTTTCTATGGTTCGATAATCAACATAAGTTTAAAATTTACAGACATAACCGAGTTGTTTTTGGACTCACATCAAGTCCGTTTCTGCTAGCCGCTACACTTAGTCACCTTTTGACTACAGTCCCAGAAAAATTTGTAGAAACTTCTAATATTTTACCTCGATAATTCGTTAATTAGCTTAAATCACGTAGATGAAGCCGAAAATTTCGTTCAAGAAGCAAGATTGATTTTGGCTTCAGGGCATTTCAATTTGAGATGTTGGCGATCAAATTTTCGCATTGACATGATCGATGAGATAGAGAGCAAGACAAAAGTTGTCCCAGTATTAGGATTAGTATGGGATTTAGAAAAAGATAGTTTGAGTTGCAAGATCGAAGAAACATTTAACTTGAGGGAACCTATTACCAAAAGAAAAGTTTTGTCAATTACCCAGAAAATTTTTGATCCCATTGGCTTTACTGCACCGATAACTGTAATTCCTAAGCTAATTTTGCAAGAAACATGGAACGAGAAGATTAAGTGGGATGAAGATCTTCCTCTTCCCCTAAGTGAGCAGTTTGGGACTTGGTTGAACCAATTGCCTCTGCTATCTCAGATTGAAATTCCTCGTTGGTTAAATATTGATTACGAAAACGAAGATACCGTAGTGCTCCACGTTTTTTCGGATGCTAGTAAAAGAGCCTATGCCACATGTGCATTTTTAAGAGCTGAAACCATCGAAGGTGTAAAGGTTCAGTTAGTAAGTGCGAGAAGTCGAATAGCCCCTATTAAGGAACTTACGATTCCACGGCTTGAACTTCTTTCCTGTCTGATAGGTGCCAGGCTTGCCAAAACAATTCTATCAGATTTGAAACTTAAGAATTGTAGAACAGTGTTCTGGAGTGATTCTTCTACAGCTTTGGGGTGGATAAGAAGGGATCAAGCATGGGGTACGTTTGTTCACAATCGAGTACAAGAAATAAGATCGCTTACCAGAATATCTGACTGGAGGCATGTACCTGGAAGTTTAAACCCAGCGGATCTCCCATCGAGAGGATGTACTATTGAGCAATTACAGAAATCGGCATGGTGGGAGGGCCCATCGTGGCTTTACTTACCAGAAGACGAGTGGCCCCATGTAGAAGAAAAGCCTGATGAAGAACTTATAAACAAGGAAAAAAGGAAAACGATTCTGACTCTTCTAGATCATGGAGACAATTTGGACCGGTACTACAAATACTTCTCTTCATATAGAAAAACCGTGAGAATGATCGCTTGGATTTTCAGGTTTTATCACAATTTAAAGAACAAAGATAAAAACCTCACTCCTGATGTCTCAGTTGATGAATTGGAGAATGCTGAAAAGGCACTTTGTAGATTGGTACAGAAAGAATCATTTACAGGCATAAACGATCCCGCCATTCGTGCGCTGAGACCAATCGTAGACCAAAATGGAATTTTAAGAGCCAAAACGAACGTCCTACAGCGTCAAGATAATGAAAATTTCCGATATCCTATCATTTTACCTTCAAAACATATTCTTGTTGAGAGACTAATTTACGAGAAACATCTAGAACTCCAGCATGCTGGTGTCAGCACTTTAATGACAAATCTTAGAGAAAACTTTTGGATATTAAAATCCAGAAAAAGTATTCGAAATATTATCAGAAAATGTGTAAGATGTAAAAGATTTGTTTCACAAAGAGTGGAAGTCGAGCCAGGATTTCCACCCGAAGATCGAGTCAGAGAAGGGGCGACTTTTGAAGTCGTCGGTGTAGATCTAGCGGGTCCTCTCTATCTCCGTGAGGGGTCTAAAGCGTGGATAGTCTTGTATACATGTGCCATTTATAGAGCCATTCACCTCGAACTAGTTACTTCTCTCTATCTACAGAAACTTTCATCCAATCTTTACGTAGATTCATTGCCAGAAGAGGTAGACCTTATGTGATATATTCCGACAACGGAACTAATTTTGTAGGGACTAACAGTGTTCTTAAGAAAGTTAATTGGAACGCCATATGTTCAGCTGCTTCTATCCAAAGGATACGATGGAAGTTCAACCCTCCGACCGCCGCCTGGTGGGGAGGTTGGTGGGAGAGGCTTGTGCGAATGGTGAAAGAAAATTTAAGAAGAGTGTTAGGTCGAACGTCCTTAAATTATGAAGAATTATATACTATATTATGTGACTGTGAACAAGTGATTAATTCGCGACCTATCACATACGTATCAGAGGATAATCAAGATCCATCACCACTGACCCCTATGATGTTTCCTGCAAGAATTGCCGTCATCAGGAGTTCCTGATATGGACTACGTAGATTCCAAAGAACTAAACCGTCGAGCCAAATACCGACAGAGAATAAGACATGATCTACGAAACAGATTTCGTAATGAATATCTTGGTCAGTTGAGACAACAGGCAATAAAGAAGGGAAAATTTCAACAGTTGCAAGTAGGCGATGTCGTTCTATTGGAAGACAGCCAGAGACGACGCATACATTGGCCTTTAGCCAAGATAGTCGAGCTTTTCCCCAGTAAAGACGGAATAGTTAGACTAGCGAGGGTCAAGACAAGAAATGGAATTCTGCTTCGTCCAGTGCCCCGGCTTTTCCCGTTGGAGATCTCTACTTCCGAATCCGTTGGCCCTCCGTTCCCCGACAGAGCACCTCGAGATAGAAACGACCATGCAACTGGTCAGGCTGATCAGGCTGCTAGTATTCCAGAACCTGCCTCAAGTCCTCGAGTGATGACCAGAGCTGGACGAGTTGTTCGGCCTCCTCATCGACTGGACCTGTGTGTATTGAGTTCCTCCGCATCGTCGGATCTCAATGGTGGGAGGTGATGTTACATCTAAACTCCGAACTATCAGCGCCTCCACATCTAAACTCCGAACTATCAGCACCATTACATCTAAACTCGAGAATAATCCTACGGAAGAACGTAGTTAGAACTCTGAACCCGAACTCGAATGACTGTTAGATGGAGAGCGCGTAATTTTCATGTAACCTAATAATTGTATATAAAATGTATCTAAATATAATATCTTTATTTATACAGAAGTGTCAGTTTTTATGCAAAAGCTTGGAATTATTTAGATATTTCATCGAATAAGAATTAGAATGGAACAAGCTCGGCTCCCGGGTGAAAGAAAAGGTAAGAGATTTCTTTTTACCTTTTAGAATTCTATTGAGAGATACAACAACAGTCTTAAGACTACTACTTAAATTCTTCAACACCTGGAAATCTTAGAACACTATTTTGTAGAATATCGTTATCGAATAACAAATTTTCGTCATAATGTTGTTACCGAAAAACACATTTTCATCAAAATGGTTTCTTTCAGGTACTAAGTTTTTGTCTGTTTTCTTCAAACTTGATCGATTCAAGTTTTAACTAAATAGATTTACGATTTTGCAAATATAAGAATTCCATTGTTTGTTTGTTTTTTTCCAAGAGCAAAGCGCAATTCATGCAAAAGTGCAAGTATAAAATATTCTGAACACAATATTTTATTGTGAAACCAGTAAGTTCCTTCAAAAATATTTCTAGTGTGCACTATTACTTGATAAATGAACGCATTGCTATTCTCATCTACACTTCTTGGCTAATCTTTGGAATTATGGTAACAGGTATTTTGGAGACATTTTGGAGGCGATAAAGGTTACTACCTAGGACTTTGGTGGTGTTGGTGTATTTAATTACGGCAAAGCACACTAGGGCTATCTGCCTAAGGGGAGGGATGCCTTCGTGGAGGACTTTCTAAGGGAAACTGGCTCGTATACACGTTACACATGGGGAAAACCACGAAAACGTCCATGCAGCCAGCCCGTTCGCGAGATTCGAACCTCGGACCGAACTACCAGTGTTCAGCGACTTTACCGCTCGGCCGCTGGTAGGCCACCTAGGACTTTCGGAATAATGTGAGAAGTACTCAGTTCCGATTACGCATTATTTTGTGTGAGGGAAATGAGAGATCATGAGATATGTCATGTGACATTAATGGACGAATTACAGTTCTTAATCGGAAAAGGGGTAAATTTGGAAAATATCTGCAGTACTATAGTATTTTGTATTAAGCTTCATTGTGTGTTGTTTTGAAAGAGTGTGATTAATTTTTGGATCGCATGGCGCTATTGAAAGTGAATTCTAAATTTTTAATGCGTTTATCTGAAAATTCAAAAAGAATTGCTTGAATGGTGTATGAGTGTAGGATTAGCGGATAAGTATGAATGTCCACATGTGGGAATGAAATGAGATTATGTGAAGGAAGGATATTACAGATAAGTTTGAATGGCGTGCAGAAATCTGGTGAAAATGGACATTTTGATCCGCCATGCACTCAAGATTCTGTAGAAGATTAGGTAAGTTAGTATTTTAATCATTTGAGGATATTATTTTTATGCATTGTTCTAAATGTAAGGAGTAAATAAATTAATATGGTATTATTGGAAAATTGTTATTAGCAATGATTTAGTTTAAAGTAATTAGGATTGTAAGCTAATTTTTATTAATTTAATGTATGTGCTTATTTATATTTTAAGTAGTGTTTTTTAATTTAATTATATTTTAATTAATGATAGTGATTTTGTGAATTATATGTTTGTAGTATTTTGGAATACGTTTGAGTAGAAGTAAAATGTGCATGGAAAGAATTTAAATATTTGACATAAGTATTTGCAACCATTTTTAATGTTTGCGTTATAAATTCGCAGGTGACGTTTATAATAGATAATTTAGAGGGAAAAGTTTTTGGATATTTTATTTATTTTATACGTGCAAATGTTCATCCTTGGAAAGGGTATATACTTTTTCGCGATCAGGTAATTTCATATATGTCCTTTTTACCGAGTTTAAAGATTCACAAAATTTTCCTGCATTTTCGTGCAAATTTTTGTAATTTATGAGAAAATAGCAGTGTAGATGGATAAAGTCAAGAGTGTGCGCAATGCCATTTTTGTGCAATTCTGGGATGTTTTTTTAAGTAAAAATAAGTCGACGTGTACATGGTTACTGTGTATGTGCGATCTGAAAAACGCGGCAAGGAGTTTGCGATTCTGCACTTTTCCCAATTTTGCAGTTAATATTTGTCATGATTAAGCAGTTTTGTTCCATAAAATTTCTAGCATAAGCGTAATTTGGCTAGCAGATTGTTGGAAAATATGTTCAGTAAAGTAAAAAGAAAAGAAACCTGTCTTTTACTTCGTAAAGACAAAATGGCCGCAAAAAAAAAAAAAAAAAAAGAAAAGAAAAAAGAAGAAGTAGAAGGTTGGTGTAGCAGAGTTGGTCGCCAAATTTTCGCCAAAAAATCGCCAAGTTACCATAATCCAAAGATTAATCCACTTCTTTTCCATAAATTCTAAAATTGTTCAATTTAAAACGAGATAATTACTTTGGATTTTATTCTTATTTCAATTAATTTCAGAGTTGGTTATTAAAAAACGCATTTCAGTGAGATATTTAATGCAGTCAGTCTTAAGGAAAACGTCTACAACTACACAATTAAACTATATGGTTTAGATACACTCACAGCGACTTTCTTTTAATTCTACGATTCTTCACACTTTCAGATTTTTAAACCTAAGGCAATAAACCTTACCATGGCTTCTCGTGAATTTCTTTTAGGAAGAAGGACTAAATAAAGCCATCACCTTCTCTGATTCAACAGTATTAATTCGAAGATGTTAATCTTCAAATAAGCCTTAAAATAATGCATGTATCATTAATTTTAGAAAGACGGTCTAGATTTTATCAGATAACACTTCTCTTCACTGCATCTCCGAACAAACATCAGAACTGGTTTGCTTTGGAAAACCCAAATTGTCCATCGCAGGCTTTACAATATCAATGACTTATCGAGCTTTATAAAACTTAATAAAATACCACTTCCAAATGTTGGATATCATTAAACCGAAGCAGATGAAGGTTATCTTAATGAATTCATCTGGTGTTCCTAGGAGGTTAATATCTGAAGTTTCTAGGAGATTAGTAGACCTTAGATTTTTTGTTTATGTACCAATGTACGGCTCAAATACTATCAAATCATTTAATCATACATAATGCAACTATAAATTTAGTTTTACATCATGGCACATTTCATATTCAAAAGCTTTGGAAGTACATTTGTAGTCAAGTGCTTGAAACTATTCAAAGCATGCAGATTTATCTAGTTTGATTCCTGAGAACTAAGCGGCTAGCGAAGCGATGTAGTGCTTCAAATATTTTTCCAGGTTTTTTCCACGTATGGAGGCTTTATGATATAATTAATGTCACTTTTTCGGTCTGACATTAAGACATTAAGAGACACCTTTGTTAAGTTTTCAATTCGATACTGGTAATAAATTTTCTAAAACATAGACTGCCGATTATTATTACATAGTATTACTCAAATGCCAAAAATCCTTTAAAACCAGTATCACACAGAGAAAAAATCTGGCACAACCATCATTCTTGTGCAACGTTTCTACTTTTGCTTGGTGGAAAAACATTAACCACTGCGAAATATAAAGTTGCCAGATACGGAAAACTGATTTTATCTGTTGAGTTATTATGTTCTGGAAGAGACAGTAATACGAAAAAAAAAAAAAAAAAAAAAAAAAAAAAGGATACTGATAGCATTTTTGCAATAGCAATACAGGAAAATATAACAATGGAGGAAATTTAGCAATAAGTTGTTCTACATAGTTTGCGCAGAATACTATCTTAAGATTTCGAAAGCTGTTGATTTTAAGTTCAAAACTGTTTCTTATATTTTTTTTAACCTTTCATGCACTAAAAATACTTAAGATCTCAATTATATCAAGGCCCACCAGCGGCCGAGCGGTAAAGTCGCTGAACACTGGTAGTTCGGTCCGAGGTTCGAATCCCGCGAACGGGCTGGCTGCATGGGTGTTTTCGTGGTTTTCCCCATGTGTATACGAGCCAGTTTCCCTTAGAAAGTCCTCCACGAAG